AAATCAGCAAAGAAATATCAATCCTAAATGACTCACTAGACCAGATGGAATTAATTGACTTCTTCAGAACATTCCACCCCAAAGCCACAGAATATACATTCTTCTCAAGTTCACATGGGACATTCTCAAAGATAGACCACATTTTGGGACATAGGCAAAGTCTCTTCAAGTTCAAGAAGATAGAAATCATTTCAAGCATCTTCTCAGATCATAGTGGCATAAAACTGGAAATTAACTACAATAAAAATAAACCTAAGAAATCAAACACATGGAGACTAAACAGCATGGTATTAAACAAGGACTGGGTTACCAGAGAAATCAAGGAAGAAATTAAAAACATCCTGAAAACAAATGACAATGAAAACACAACAACCCAAAATCTATGGGACACAGCAAAAGCAGTTTTGAGAGGGAGGTTCATATCCCTAGAAGCCTATTGCAAAAAAACAAGAAAAAATGGTAAAAAATAATCTAACTCTACAACTCAAAAAGTTAGAAAAAGAGCAACAAGAAAAGCCCAGTGTAAGCAGAAGGAAGGAAATAAAAATCAGAGCACAGATAAACGAGATAGAGACCAAAGAAACAATACATAAGATCAACAAAACCAAGAGCTGGTTCTTTGAAAGGATAAACAAGATAGATGGACCTCTAGCCAGGCTAACCAAGAAACAGAGAGGACTCAAATAAACAAAATCAGAAATAAGAAAGGTGAAATAACAACAGACCCTGCCGAAATACAACGGATTATTACAAAATACTACGAACAACTCTATTCCTACAAACTGAACAACCAGGAGGAAATGGACATATTCCTAGAAAAACACAACCTTCCAAAACTCAATTAGGAAGAATCTAAAAATCTCAATAGAGCAGTGACTTGGGAAGAAATTGAAACAGTGATCAAAAAGCTTCCAGCAAACAAAAGCCCAGGGCAAGATGGCTTCACAGAAAAGTTTTGCCAAACATTCAAGGAAGAACTAAAACCTATCCTCCTCAGACTATTCCAAAAAATCCAAGAGGAAGGAACACTTCCAAACTCCTTCTATGAAACCAGCATCACCATAATACCAAAACCAGACAAAGACAACTCAATGAAAGAGAATTACAGGCCAATATCCCTCATGAACATAGATGCCAAAATCCTCAACAAAATTCTAGCAAATCAGCTCCAGCAGAACATCACAAAGATCATATACCATGACCAAGTAGGATTTATTCCAGGAATGCAAGGATGGTACAATATCCACAAATCAATAAACGTGATACATCACATAAACAAATTGAAAGATAAAAATCATATAGTCATATCAATTGATGCAGAAAAAGCATTTGATAAAATCTAACACCCTTTCCTGATAAAAACTCTCAACAAGGTGGGAGTACAAGGATCATACCTCAACATAATAAAAACTATATATGATAAACCCACAGCCAACATCATACTCAATGGACAAAAACGAAAACCATTCCCTCTAAGAACAGGAACAAGACAGAGATGCCCACTTTCGCCACTCCTGTTTGACATAGTACTGGAAGTACTAGCCCTTGCAATTAGACAAGAAGAGGAAATAAAAGGCATCCAAATTGGAAAAGAAGAAGTAAAGTTATCCTTATTTGCAGATGATATGATATTGTACAAAAAAAACCCAAAAGACTCCATTAAAAAACTAATTGACTTAATAAATGAATTTGGCAATGTAGCCAAGAAATCCATAGCATTTCTATACACCAACAGTGAAATTACAGAAACAGAGATTAAAAAAGCAATTCCGTTCACCATCGCACCAAAAAAATTAAGATACCTAAGAATAAATTTAACTAAGGAAGTAAAGGACCTATTTGTGGAAAACTACACGACAGTGAAAAGAGAGACAGAGGAAGATGTAAACAGATGGAAGAACATACCATGTTCATGGATTGGTAGAATCAACATCATCAAAATGTCCATACTTCCTAAAGCAATCTATAGGTTCAATGCACTCCCCATTAAAATACCAATGGCATATTTCACTAACCTAGAAAAACTCTCAAAAAGTTCATTTGGAACAATAAAAGACCCCAAATAGCCACAGCAATCCTGAGAAAGAAGAGTAAAGTAGGAGGGATCTCAATACCAGACTTCAAGCTGTATTACAAAGCCACTGTTCTCAAAACAGCTTGGTACTGGCACAAGAACAGACATATAGATCAATGGAATCGAATCAAGAACCCAGATATCAACCCAAATCACTATGCTCAGTTAATATTTGACAAAGGAGGCACAAATATACAATGGAGTCAAGACAGTCTCTTCAATAAATGGTGTTGGGAAAATTGGACAGACACATGCAAAAGAATGAAACTAAATCACCAACTTACACCATACACAAAAATAAACTCAAAATGGATACAGGACTTAAATATCAGAGGGGAAACCATAAAAATACAAGAAGCATCCACAGGCAGCAAAATCTCAGACATATGCTAAAAGAACTTCTTCACTGATACTGCCCCTAGGGCAATGGAAGCTAAAGAGAAAATAAACAAATGGGACTACATCAAAATACAAAGCTTTTTTACAGCAAAAGAAACCATCAACAAAACAAGAAAGCCCACAGTGTGAGAGAACATATTTGCAAATAATACCACTGATAAAGGTTTAATCTCCAACATTTACAGACAGCTTATACAACTAAATAAAAGGAAGATGAATGATCCAATTAAAAAATGGGCAATGGACCTAAATAGAATATTTCCAAAAGACAGAAGGAAGGCCAAAAGGCACATGAAAACATGCTCAAAGTCACTAATTGTCTGAGAGATGCAAATCAAAACAACAATGCAGTACCATCTCACACCTGTAAGAATAGCCAACCTCAACAAATCAACAAACGACAAGTGTTGGCGAGGTTTTGAAGAAAAAGGAACCCTTGTGCACTGCTGGTGGGAATGCAGACTGGTGCAACCACTGTGGAGAACAGTGTGGAGTTTCCTCAAAAAACTGAAAATGGAACTCCCATTTAACCCAGTAATCCCACTCCTAGGAATATATCCCAAGAAACTAGAAACACCAATCAAAAAGGATATATGCACCACTATGTTCATAGCAGCACAATCTACAATAGCCAGAATTTGGAAACAGCCTAGGGGCCCGTCAGCAGATGATTGGATCAAAAAACCATGGTACATCTACACAGTGGAATACTATGCTGCCATAAAATAAGAAGGAATTCTCATCATTTACAGCAACCTGGATGGAATTGGAGAACATCATGTTGAGTGAAATAAGCCAATCAATGAAAGAGAAACACCACATGACCTCACTCATTTATGGATAATAAAGAACATTATAAACTGATGAACCAAAAGATATAGAGACAGTAAAGCAACAAGCAAAGTGTCAAATTACACTGGGGAGGGGAGGAAGATCTGGAGGAGATAATAGATCAACCGAAGGACTTGTATACATGCATATAAGTACAACCAATGAACATAAAATTCTGGGGAGGGAGGGTATGTATGGGAGGAAGGGAAGGGGGGCAAAAAAAAGTCAAAAAAATATATTAAAAAAGAAAAAGAAAAAAAAGTTTAGAAGAAATAGATTTTATCAGATAAAAACTGAGCGAATTTGTTGCCAATAGACCTGCCTTGCAAGAATATTAAAAGTTCTTCCGAGAAAAGGAAAAGACATACGAGAAACTCAGAGCTACATAAAGAAAGGAAGAATTTCCCTTGGCATAACTGCATGATGACTGATAAATAAATATAAAATCTTTTAATTTTCTTATTCTGAATTGAGCTCAGATAATTGTTTAAAAAAATAACAGTAACAATCAATATTAATTTACTAATATGTGAAATGAATAATAGCAATATTATAAAGGACAGGAGGAAAAATTGATTATAATACCATATAATAAAAGCATAGTATGCAAATTGTCCCCTCAACTGGAGTTCTTCCAGGAGTTTGATCAGGGGCAGGCTGGCCAGGGAAAGGGAGGGAGGTCCCAACCCAGTGGCGGCAGGGGGAAGAGAGAAGTATCCAGCTAGCAGCTGGCAGCTGCTAGGGACCCTACCAGTGCACAAATTTCATGCACTGGGCCTCTAGACTGTTATAAAGCATCTACAGTGCCTCTAAACTGGTAAAGTATTATTTGAAAACTAGAGGCCCTGTGCATGAAATGGCAAAGGTAGACTATGTAGTGTGAAAAGAAAAGAGAACCCTGGGAATCAAACTGCACAATGCCAGCATTATGGGGTTAAGGATATAATTTGAGTACAAAAGGAACTGGCTTACTAAATATGCAGCGGTAGGATTATAAATTATTACAATCATGCCTATTTGAATATGGCTCTCTCAACTCAGAAAGATACAGTGTAAGAAAACGCCTGGAAAAATTACTATCTCTATTATTTAACTAGAGGCCCAGAGCATGAAAATTCATGCATTGGAGGGGGGGGGGTCCCTCAGCCAGGCCCACCCCCTCTCACAGACCAGGAGCCCTTAGGGGCAGGAGGTAACCTGCTGATCAGGGAAAGGGAATGCTCTATTACACCTCTGCTGCTGCCACTGCTGGCAGTGCAAGCTCTGTTGGCCCTGGTTGCCTGAGCCTGGGGCAGCCGGGCAGCTGCCATCCGAGGCTTGCCTGTGCTTTGATCCAGCCCTGGGCAGTTGGGGGAGCTGAGGGTACTGGGAGACTCTAGAGTATGCCATGTGCTTGCTGCCCTGTTGGAGTTGAGGGGACTGGACATCACCATCTTGTAGCTGTGGGCACTGCCATTTTTGAGGGCAGGGAATTCAATTAGCATATTCCCTCCTTATTGGCTGTGGACACCGCCACCTGAGGGCAGGGCAAGGTGGGCAGGGCAGTCAATTAGCATATTCCCTCTTTATTAGATAGGATTCCAATTCTTCACTTTAATGACAAACCTACCAGAGAAACTTGGTTAATATAAACATTATGAATTAAAACAAAAATAATTACCCAAGAATAGCAAACAATTTTTCCCACCACACTTACCCATCTCTTCCCTTGCTGACAATTTTTACTTCGAAATAATAAATCCCACAGGCTGCTGGTATTGGATGTGTGGCACGAACTGATGCTGCATCTTTTGGAGTTTTGCCATGACCTGCATAAAATACAGAAAGGAAAAAAAAGTCAAATGAGATATCCAAATGAGAATCTTAACAAATAATTCAGGAACAAATATGGTTTATAGAATAATATATACATTTCTGTGTCCATGAGTACAAATAATTAAAGACTTGATGGTCATCACAATTAATCCAATATGCAAAACAGCCCAAGCTAATCATGGAACTCTCACAGTAGTAGTTTTAATAAAATTTCAGAATCTAAACCATTGAACTTAACAGTCGTTTAGGAAACTTAAAAGTATTTTAGAGTTGACTGTATTTGTAAGAGAAGAAAAAAAAAAGGTTGCATTTGAAGAACATAATGAGAATATGACCTTAATTTTATTAATCTAAATTTGCATATCACATAAAATTTCTAAGCAATACTATTTTGCAAAATGGCCTGCTTTTTAAAAAAGAAGCATCCAGCCCTAGCCAGATTGGCTCAGTTGATACAGTGTTTGCCTGTGGACTGAAGGGTCCCAGGTTTGATTCCAGTCAAGGGCACATGCCAGTTTGTGGGCTCAATCCCTAGTGAGGGGTTTGCAGGAGGCAGCCAATCAATGATTCTCTCTTATCATTGATGTTTCTATCTTTCTCTCCTTTTCCCTTCCTCTCTGATATCAATAAAAAAAAAAAAAATGTTTAAAAGAAGCATCTGTATCACCGAATATATTTTTAAATGCAATTTTACAATTAGATTGAATTGGCAAAGAGCATTCTTAAAGAATTTACAATTTTGTTCTATAACATATCATTTATTCTATATAAACGCTGACCTATAAATTTCTTTGATCAATTACAGCATGAGAAATATCTAATCACTAGTTGTATATTCTTCCTTTTTTTTAAAAAAGAAATATAATCCATACCACTGCTGGCATCTTATAAAATCTGTTAGATAATAGCTTTAAACATCTTAAGTTAGCTATCCCTTTATTTTGATCCCAGAAGGTGTCTGCCCTTCACTCATAATCACCTCCCTTCCCTTGCCCAAGACACAATTAACCTTGGGAGCTAGCATGTGCAAAATAAGCCCATAAAACCACAGAATATGAATAATGACAGAAACTAAAATAGCTGGTCAAAAAGCACTCAAAGAGAGTGAGACCAGTCTCCACAATCTCCAAAAAGACTATATGAGAAATAATACTCTAAAATGATTATTCAGGTATTCTAGTTAGATATGTTCCTCACAATATAAACTTATGTCATTAATCTCTTTTTTAAATATACTTTCATTGATTTCAGAGAGGAAGGGAGAGGGAGAGAAAGATAGAAACATCAATGATGAGAATCACTGATCCACTGCCTCCTGCACGCCCTCTACTGGGGATGAGCCTGCAAACCAGACATGACCTTCTGCTTCTTAGGTCCAGGCTCAACTACTGAGCCATTCCAGCTGGACTAACCTTTCAGACATACTATAACAACATCTTCATGGAGAACAGAATTCCCCACCTCAAATTTACCATTATTTTAAAACTAAAAAACTTAACTCACAAATTATATCTTAGCCCTATAATAACCATCACAAACCAATGAGGTCATATCTTCCCTTACCATGGATTTTGTCAAATTACCAATGTACACCCTACCATTAAACAGTTAAGTTTACAAATTAGCTGATGATGACATAGCCTTAAAGAAATTGTTGAATTCCACAGCTCCTTTCTATTACCATGAAAACGTACGTCCATAGACATCTTAAGTATATATGGTGTTGTGTTATAAATAGAAATAGATGGCCAATGGCAGGTGATAAGCTTGGCTAAGAACATAAAAGTGGAAGCAGCAACATATAGACTAAAACTGCTTTAACATATATAGAAAATAGATTTACACTAAGCAAACGGGGGGGGGGGGGAGGGGGGAGCACAAATCTGCAGAATAACACCAGTGACTTTTTAAAAATAGTTATTTAGTAAATTATGGTTTTAGCAAAACATCTTTTCAGTAAAAATATGTTTTAAATAATTGATTTGTCTGAGAAAAGGTCAAGTAAACTAAATGCATTTAAAAAATTTTCAAGTTAAAAATAAATCCAAAGAAAAACCTAATTAACCTTGGGGTCCTAAATCAACTAGCTTTTATATTTGTTTTTGGGGTTTTTTTTGGAAAGGAAATGATTAAACTTTTATTAGACATAAGATAATCTCAAGGCACCCTAACCAGTTTGGCTCAGTGGATCGAGGACTCAAGTGTCCCAGGTTCGATTCCGTTCAAGGGCATGTACCTTGGTTGCAGGCACATCCCCAGTAGGGGGTGTGCAGGAGGCATCTGATTGATGTTTCTCTCTCAACGATGTTTCTAACTCTCCCTTCCTCTCTGGGAAAAAAAAAAAAAAATGTATGTATGTATGTATGTATGTATGTATATATATGTATATACCACACATAATAAGAGTAATATGCAAATTAACTATCACACCACTACACAAGCATGCCTACCAGTCAATCAGAGTGAGTATACAAATCACTCAACAAAAATGGTGGTTAATTTGCATACATGGAGGGAGGGAGGAGTGAAGACTGAAGACAACATAGAAGGAAGGAGGAGGGAAAGTGGAAAGCAAGATAGCTGTGACTGCTGGAGGGAAAGCGCTGGCAGCATGTGCGGGGTGCAGTGAGGTGCACAGCAGAGGCACTCGCGTGGCACCTCCAATGGCAGGAGGCAGCAGGGGCGGTGGGCGTGGCAGGTCGGGTGGGCAGGGCACACAGCAGCAGTGTGTGCAGCCCCAGAGGCAGCGGCAGCAGCCGCAGAGGCAGGTGGCAGTGGTGACCTCGGGCACGGTGGGGCAGGTGGGATGAGTGGGGCTTGCCATAGATATATAGATATAGGTAGATATTCTCTCTCTCTCTCTCTCTCTCTCTCTCTATATATATATATATATATATATATTTTTAAGATAATCTCAAGGCATACTTAGTAATAATAATAAATGGTAATTTATTATTTACACTTGCCATGCAAATTAGCCCATGTTCACATACATTTAATATTATGTGAAAGGCATTGGTTCTAAGAGTATGGTATTTATTAACTTATTTAGCATTCAGAACAAGTTATGAAGTAGATACTATTTATTTTTATTTTAAAAACTAGAGGACCGGTGCACAAAATTCATGCACTCAGGGGGTCCCTTAGCCTGGCCTACATCTCTCGTAGTCCAGGAGCTCTTGGGGGATGTCCAACTGCCACGGAGGTAGGAGAGGCTCCTGCCACCACTGCTGAGCTCTCCACCCATGAGCCCGGCTTCTGGTGTTCCCCCTGTGGGAGCACCCTGACCACCAGGGGGCAGCTCCTGCGTTGAGCATTTGCCCCTGGTGGTCAGTGTGCATCATAGCAACCTCTCTTTCTGCCATTCAGTCTATTTGCATATTAGCCTTTTATTACATAGGATGAGGAAACTAAGGCAAAATAAAGAAACGTGCTCCAAGTTATACTGCTGTGTGAGAATTCCAATCCAGGATTTGTGCTGGGATTTAAGTTCAAGAAGCCTGATCCAGTGCAGCTTTGAACCCATAGGAAGGATTTAGTTACAAATGAGCATTCTGGGATCACTTCACATGTATTCTCATCTCCTAATCTTGCTACTTCTTTGGGAAAAGAGATAGGAAATATTTAGGGTAAACAACCTCTCAAAGCATTATGTGCTTTTCTATAGTTTTTTCTCATCCAACATCTGTGAAATAAGTATTATTTAACCTCATTTTTTAAAATGAAAAAATTCCTAGAGATTATATAACCTTGTCCCCAATTAGTAGACTCATATTAAATCCATGTATTAATTAAAATCCCCTACATTTTTTCCATTATGCAAAAATACCGTAACTGTAAAAAAATGCACAATCATAAATCTTCATTATGCTCTACTAAAACATTATAAAAATTTTCTATAAATATTTAAATATTTAGGAAAAGTTTAGAGGCTAAGTGAAGGGATTAGGTAAAAACAAAAACAAAAACCACTACCTCATGCACAATAGCATGGAGATCAGCAGAGGGAAAGAAGGTGGAGGCAGGCAGAAGAGGGTAAAGGAGGATAAATGGTGATGGAAGGAGACTTGACATGGGATTTTGGACACACAATATAGTAACAGATATATTGTAGAATTGTACACTTGAACCTATGTCATTTTATTAACCAATGTCACCCCAATAAATTCAATTTTTAAAAATATATTTTTTTATTGATTTGAGAGAGAAGAGAGAGAGAAACATCAATGATCAGAGCGAATCATTGATTGGCTGCCTCCTGCATGCCCCATACTTGGGATCAAGCCCACAATCTGGATAAGTGCACCTGACCAGAATCAAACCTGTGACCCTTCAGTCCACAGGCCGATGCTGTAACCATGGAGCAAAACTGGCTAAGGCTAAATTCAATTAAAAAAAAAAAAAAGGATTCAAACTATTTCTTAGATGAGACTACTATTATCAGACTGAAGGGCCATGTTCATCAGCAGGAATTTTATTACCTAAAATTCTGTGGTGACCAAAATACAACCTTACACTACCAAAGTGTAAACTTTTAAAAACACAAAGACTTCACTACTGGGCATTTTCTATATGGTTCAAGCAGAAAATACATATACTGCTTCAAAACTCTAAGGCTAGTAAAGTTAGTTCTTTCTATTAAATCTGTTGACTAGTTTCATTGAAATGGAAAGGGTCTGAATAAAGTCCATCCAATCCCCCTCCATTCCCCAACATGCTACCAAGTGTCTTTCTGAAAATATAAATCTGCCTTCCTTGTACCACTATCCCTCAATACAATTAGAATTCCTTCTTAAAAGCCTCCTGTTAACCTAGGAAAAAGATAAACTTCCAGAAAACCTTGTTCGAGCTCCCCTCCCCCTGCATATTTTATCTCCTTTCTGCTGCAGCTACATTCACCAGGCCAGTCTTTGCCACAAGCAATTCCCTCTTACTGGAAAGCTCTCCCCCGCTTCCTTCTCAACCTGGGTAGGTCCTATTCTTTCTTCAGATC